AATTTGAGATGGCGGAGTGGGCGTGGAAAGTTAAAGCTGATTCGTGGGCGAAAATTGCGACCTTCCAAAGCTGACATGGATGGATTTCGCCGAGCCAAACGTTGTTCGGCTGGCGCATCAGGCACAGGCTCGGGTACCAGCTACAGCAAAGTGTGCTCCCTAGAAGCTTCTGAGAGAAGCGGACAATTGTTGACTCGGGTCTGGGATCTGCTGACTCGGGTCTGGGATAGGCGCATGAGCACCGAAGCGAACTGGGGCATGATGGCAGCCGAACACCCTTTTTGGCCCCAGGTTCGGGAACTGAATGTGCGTTCCCAGAACCCTCCTCTCCTGGCAAACCGACGCACCACTGATGCGCGCATGGTGCATCCGTGGAGAGCTAGCACCATGCGCGCACCAGCTGATGCGGGGCAGCACCAGCTGGTGTGGGGCAGAATTAGGTGCCCGCCAAGTTGAACACCCCCCGGGTTTGACTAACTTGACCCACACAATTGCCCGATCTGTAAAAGTCGAACACCTACCGTGTTTGACAAACTTGACAGACCAATAGAACCAATTTGACAAACCCCAAACCACTTCCTCTCGTTCGAGCACCACACCCGAACCAACCCTGGTACCCAAGCACCACCAACGAACCTGTTCTGGTACCCGAGCCTAAACCCTGATGCGCCAGTCGAACAGGGCCAAGTTGTTTCGGACTACACTTGCTTTTGCGATAATTTTGATGCAACGCTGGAATGAATTCGCGGATGGCTGGAGACTTCTGAAAATTCTTACTCAATGACTGCTATTGACTGGAAAGGACTCCATGTTAGCATGGAGACAGAAGATTGTATGAAACAGGTAAGCAAAGAACATCAATTCTTGGTGCTTGTAACGGCAGAATGTTTACAAATGTTTACCTTGCAAATGTTATGTGTTCTATTGCCACGGCCTGCTTGCGTTATTCTCTGGCGAATGACCCCCTTAAAAACATCAAACCGTTATAAGATCAGTATTGAATGATGAACTAAACTCAGCCATCAGGATAATGGTACAGGATCATTCAATTCATAATAATGTACAGTATGACCTTTTGAGCCACTGCGGCATCTGGTCTGGATATCTAGATGTCAGGTGAGTGCAATTTGTTGGCTGCCGCTGCTATGGCAGTTCCTGCAATGTAGCCTCCAGTCCACGCATTCTGGAAGGGGGATTGAAACATTTTAAGGCAAATGGGAAAAAAGGGGCCTAACGTATTTGGAAAATTAGACAGAGCACGGAATTTCATCGGTGCGGACATTTGTATTCTTGCAAGAACAGCAAGGCCATTCGGACAAAGCTGGTACATTTGAAAGCTTCTACACTCAAGTGCATCACCATGCGACAATCAGATGCTCACATGTGTTTGAATGCATTCACATCCGTACACATGCATATGCATGCAAGCACGCATGGCGCGGAATGCACATCTATGCATGAACGTGAGTGCATATATGCGCGCGCATGGTGTAATGGGCGTATGCACATGCATGCAGATACGCCATGTGACTTTTGAGTCGACTCAAAAGTCGCGCGTATGGTGCAATGGGCGTGTGCACATGCATGCAGATATGTCATGCTAAGGCGAGTACACAAATGCCAAGCACATTACCTGGAAGTTAAAGCCTCCTGTGATTCCGTCCACGTTCAGTATCTGTGCCACAACGAGGAATCAACAGGAGCGAAACATTTCTCCATGAATTGAAGAGAGAGAGGTTTCCCTGAGGAGGGTGAGGTGACTTTTGAGGGTTCTGTTGCTCACGTGTTGAAAAGAGACTCTCCATCGTGGTCAGCTTGAGGGACTCACCTCGGCTGCAAAGCGTGTAGAAAAGATACCGTGTGACATTATACCGAGCTGACTTTTGAGTCGACTCAAAAGTCAGTTCTGTTGCTCACGTGTTGAAAAGAGACTCTCCATCGTGGTCAGCTTGAGGGACTCACCTCGGCTGCAAAGCGTGTAGAAAAGATACCGTGTGACATTATACCGAGCTGACTTTTGAGTCGACTCAAAAGTCAGTTCTGTTGCTCACGTGTTGAAAAGAGACTCTCCATCGTGGTCAGCTTGAGGGACTCACCTCGGCTGCAAAGAAGAAATTGCAAAGTTTCGGGATGTATCAAAACTCGATTGAGGAACTCACCTCTCCTGCAAAAAAGAGGTTGCTAAGGAGCCGGCTCTCCATTGTTGCAATATTCACCTTGATGTGTGACATGGGATGGGGGAGGCAATCGGGAAGAGATGAGGGAGACAGGTGGTGGAAAGGGGAAAGGGGGTTAAAGAGAGTAAAGCAAAGAAGAGGTTGGGAACGAAATGACGCTCCATTGTTGTAAGATTGACCTTGATGTGTGACATGGGATGGCAAAGGCAACGGGGGAGATCGGAGAAAGAGGTGGGGAGAGTGGGGAAAGAGGCAAATATTAGAGTAAAAGCAGAATAGGTGTTGGGAAAATCTTAATTGTGGTGAGATTGGTCTTGAGGTGCGACAAGGGTCAGAAAGGTAAAGGTAATAGGGGGCGCAATGAGGGAAGGAAGAGATCTCAAAGCAAAGGGGAAAGGCGAGAAGAGGGTTTTGGGAAGGAATCGGTATGGGATTGAGGGAGAAGAGCGGACGAACGAGATTGACGCATGGAAGAAGGAAGGAAGGAGGAGGAGAGGGGAGTGGGAGATAGGAATGGGAGAGGGGAATGGGAGAGGGGAATGGGAGAGGGGAATGGGAGACGGGAATGGGAGACAGGAACTGGGAGGGAATGGGAGAAGAAAAAAATACCTCCTTTAGAGGGACACCACCTGCAGTCACAAATTCATCCTTAAATCGACCCTGCAGGAAAAGGGAGGAGAGGAGAGGAGAGGGGAGGAGAGGAGAGGAGAGGAGAGGAGAGGAGAGGAGAGGAGAGGAGAGGAGAGGAGAGGAGAGGAGAGGAGAGGAGGGGAGAGGAGAGGAGGGGAGAGGAGAGGAGGGGAGAGTGGAGGAGAGGAGAGGAGAGGAGAGAAAAGGACAGGAAAAGAGGCAGAAATTTGTCAAAACACATATGATGGAAATTATGATTAGCTCCTCAATCAAACAGCAACATTTTTTTAGGCTCACAAACAGTAGCAAAACAACCATGTTAACTGGACGGAACAGAACCGAACTGATTCAGTACAAAACTGAATTGGAATGAATCGAACAAAACTAAAAAATAATATTTAGGGGAGCAAACGCAATCAATCAGGGGCATCAATAAGGTCTAATTGTGAGGGGCCTAAAAAAATTCACTCATGGTTCTCCTCTCCTCACCTTCCCCGCCACTGCCAGCTCAGCTTTGTGGATGACATCAGCAAGGGTGAGCAAATGGGCCTTTGACACGTGGGCCCAGAGGGTCTCTGGATGGATGACCTGTGGAGGTGAAGTGGAGGAGAGGGGAGGGGGGGGTGAGAGGAGGGAAGGGCGAGGGGGAGAGTTTTGGCAGATGAAGGGGACATAATACTCCTGGCGCCTCTGAAGGTTTTTCAGACGTCTCAGAAGAGTTTTGAGACGTCTCAGAAGATTTTTGGCAGGTGAAGGGGACATAGTACTCCTGACGCCTCTAAAAGACGACTGGGGTTGGGACGGCGAAGGTGGCGGTCATTGATAACGCTTTTGACACGTGTGCCCAGAGGGAACTCTAAAAAAATTGTGGAGCCTACAAGGTGAGTTTTGAGTCGACTCAAAAGTCAATTCGGGAGGGCGAAGGCAGCGGTCACTGATAACGCTTTTAGACACATGTGTCTGCCCAGAGTAAACTCTGAAAAACGTTCTGGAGCCTACAAGGAAGCAAGGAAAAGGGCTTGCCGATTGCAAAATTGTTACTCACAGCACGTTCGAGCAGGTAGCACCAGAACCTTCTGGGAAGGTTCAGCTCCACTGGGGCAGTGGTGCCGATTTGTTTTTTCTGCGAGCGTTAGAGGCGAATGTGAGTGAGTGAGTGAGAGAGTGAGGGAGCGAGTAAGTGAGTGAGGAAGTGAGTGCGTGAGTTAATGAGTGGCGGTTAAACGGCTTGTGCGAGTGTTGGAGGGAGCGAGTGAGTGTGGGTAAGAACATCCAGCAGGGAAGAAAATTGGTTTGTTGAAGGGAACGGAGGGTGGAAGAGTGAAGTCTCCTATTCTTGTGGAAATCACCTGAAGTGATGATTTGGCAGCAGTGAGTGCAGAGAGGAGAGCAGCAGCGGAGAGATGAGGGGTAAAGTCAGCCACTAGTGTTGCTGGTAGGAGGTAAAGAGGGAGGGAGGGAGGGAGGGAGGGAGGGAGGGAGGGAGGGAGGGAGGGAGGGAGGAAAGGGGGAGGGAACAAAGGTGAGGAGATGAAGCTGTGAGTGCAGTGAGGAGAGCAGCAGCGGAGAGATGAGGGGTAAAGTCAGCCACTAGTGTTGCTGGTAGGAGGGAAAGAGGGAGGGAGGGAGGGAGGGAGGGAGGGAGGAAAGGGGGAGGGAACAAAGGTGAGGAGATGAAGCTGTGAGTGCAGAGAGGAGAGCAGCAGCGGAGAGATGAGGGGTAAAGTCAGCCACTAGTGCTGCTGGTAGGAGGGAAAGAGGGAGGGAGGGAGGGAGGGAGGGAGGGAGGGAGGGAGGGAGGGAGGGAGGGAGGGAGGGAGGGAGGGAGGGAGGAAAGGGGGAGGGAACAAAGGTGAGGAGGTGAAGCTGTGAGTGCAGAGAGGAGAGCAGCAGCAGAGAGATGAGGGGTAAATTTGGCCACTATGGTTGCAAGAGGGAGAGAGGGAGGAAAGGAGGGAGACAGAGGGTAAGGGAGGGAGGGAGAGAACAGCAGGAACACATGGGTGAGATAGAGAACAAAAAGCTTACATAAAGTAGTAGCCAATACAGGAAACCCCTGAGCCTTTCTTGAGCCAGCCATCCCAGCCATCCCAACCCAGCCATCCCAGCCCAGCAACCCCAACCCACCAGTGTAGGCAGAGGCGTGCAGGTTCCTAGCAGCCCAGGCTGAGAGTTTAGGCAGAGCTGGACCGCTCACTCCCCAGTGCGTGAAGAGAGGTGGGAGGAGAGAGACGCACCGGGGGTGAAGGGGAAAGAGGCCCACGCACCCACCACTGCCACCAAAAGCGCACCCACCCACCAGTGTAGGCAGAGGCGTGCAGGTTCCTGGCAGCCCAGGCAGAGAGTTTCAGCACAGCTGGGCCGCTGAGTCCCCAGTGCGTGAAGAGGAGGGGGACGGGAGAGAGGACTCTCCATCCATCATCCACCAATGTAACCCCCCCACCCCACCACCAGTGCCACCCACCCACCCACCGTTGTAAGCAGAGGCGTGCAGGTTCCTGGCAGCCAGGGCTGAGAGTTTCAGCACAGCCGGGCCGCTCAGTCCCCAGTGCGTGAAGAGGAGGGATGAGGGGAGCGGGGTGAGGGGACAGAGGCGCACTTGGGGTGAAGGGAAAGAAACTTATGCGCCCACTAAAAGGTGCATCCGCCCACCCACCAGTGTAGGCAGAAGCATGCAGGTTCCTGGCAGCCCAGGCAGAGAGTTTCAGCACAGCCGGGCCACTCACTCCCCAGTGCGTGAAGAGCAACGGCGAGAGGTCAAAGGAGCCCCCACCCACCACCCACCACCCACCAGCGTAACCCCACCAGTGCCACCAACCCACCCACCACCCACCAGTGTAACCCCACCGGAGCCACCAACCCACCCACCCACCAGTGTAGGCAGAAGCGTGCAGATTTCTGGCAGCCCAGGCTGAGAGTTTCAGCACGGCTGGGCCGCTCACTCCCCAATGCGTGAACAGCAGGGGCCCTCGCTGCGTGAAGGATGATTCCTTGTCCTTTTGCTGCTTGGGCTTGTTTTTAGCAGTGGTGGCAACGGCGGCAGGAGCAGAAGCAGTGGCAGCGGCAGCATCAGCAGTCTCGGTGGCGGCGGTGGTGGTGGTGGTGGTGGCAGCAGTGGTAGAGGTGAGGGGGGAAAGGGCGGAGGAGGAGGAAGGGGAGGATGGAACAAGCAGCTTCAGAGACACGTCTTCAAGAGACACCTGGATTGAGGGCATGGAAAGACAAAGAAAAACATATGCAAGGAGTTAAGGGAAATGGTGGAGGAAGGGGACCTCACTCACTCACTCACTCACTCACTCACTCGCTCACTCACTCACTCACTCGCTCACTCACTCACTCACTCACTCAATCGCTCACTCACTCACTCACTCGCTCACTCACTCACCCACTCACTCACTCCCTCACTCACTCACTCACCCCCGCAAGAGCAGTGAGAGCAGAATCAGGGATGTTGAAAGTGAAGAGAGACGGGCAGGGAGGGATGATGGAGTGACCAAGGGATGATGCCATGTCATGACCCTGCAGTAGTAGAGAGGGGTGGGGAGAGATGCGAAGGGGTGATGGGGGACGGGGACGGGTGGGAAGGGGTGAAATGGGGTGAAACTGTGAGATGCTTTTGGGGGAGGAAGGATGGAAGGGCAGGGAGGGATGATGGAGTGACCGAGAGATGCTGCCATGGAATGCCCCTGGGGTTGAGAGGGGTGGGAAGAGGTGAGGAGGAGTGAAGAGGGGTGAAGAGGGGTGAGGAGGGTTGAGGAAGGGTGAGGAGGAGGGGAGAGTATGGGGCGAGGTTGAGGAGTTATGAGGGGTGATGAGGGTTAATGAGGATCGATGAGGGGAGCACAGGAAAGGATGTTGGCAGGATCGTAAGGAAGGCAGAAAAACTTGCTGAAATCAATAAACAACATAAGCATAGATTTGTGGAGACCAGAACGAGCTAAGTCTGATGATCTGGGTCGAATCTACTTTTCTCTGCAAAGGGCGAGAAAATTGCTGAAATCAATTAACAACACCGATGACATTCGGAGATCACCCCAACAAAAAGGTCCAATACCTTGATTGACCCACCGGTGCCGATAAGAACGAAATCAGCCATGAGGGAGAGAGGGGAGGAGGAGGAGGAGGAGGGAGGGGAAGAGCTATTGATAATCGGTGGAGCCTTTTTGGAGGAGGTGATGAGGAACTGGCCTGCAGGGGTGCGAGCGATGGATGCCACGGGCCAGCCCGGGGAGATGGTCACTGGGGGAGGGAAGAGAAGGTGGGAGGAGAATCGGAGGATCGGAAAGAGTGGATCAAGGGATGGAGGGTGAGAGCGTGGGTCAGCAGGAACTGGTTTGCAGAAGTGCGAGCGATGGATGATACAGGCCAGCCCGGGGAGATGGTCACTGGGGGGAAGGGAGGAGAGGGGAGGGGGAGGAGAGAGGGAGATGTTGATGAGTGTGGGAGTCTGCTTGGAGGAGGAGATGAGGGACTGGCCTGCAGGGGTGCGAGTGATGGATGCTACAGGCCAGCCCGGGGAGATGGTCACTGGGGGTAAGGGAGGAGAGGGGAGGGGGAGGAGAGAGGGAGATGTTGATGAGTGTGGGAGTCTGCTTGGAGGAGGAGATGAGGGACTGGCCTGCAGGGGTGCGAGTGATGGATGCTACAGGCCAGCCCGGGGAGATGGTCACTGGAAGGTGGGGGAGGAGGGGTTGAGAAAGAATGGAAAGGAGAAAGGGGATTGAAGTGGATGGAGTGTGAGAGTGTGGATCAGTAGGAACTGGCCTGCAGGAGTGCGAGCGATGGATGCTACAGGCCAGCCAGGCGAGATGGTCACTTGGGGAGGGGGATGAGAGGGTGGGTGCGAGGAGAAATGGGAGAGGGCAGAATGAAAGGATAGAAAAGAGGTAGTTGGAGACCAAAGGGTGAGAGGCTAGTACCCCTGCAGCGTGGACATCCACATGACAATTCACCTGAGAATGTCCCTGAGAGCACCTGAGAATGCACCTGAGAGCACCTGAGAGTGTACCTGAGAGCTGCTGGGCTTGTGAGAGCAGGCAGTCGATAACTGATTGGGAGGAGTCTGAGACGGGAAACATGCGCCCGTCTGGTTCTGTCTGGCAGGGAAAGAGCAGGGTGGGGTTGATTGAGAATGGGGAGAAGCGGGAGTGACGGGAGTGGGTGGAGTCAATAACACGGCGCAGGTAGGCGCAGAGCAGGCAGTCAATAACTGACTGGAGGAGCCTGACACGGGGAACATGCGCCCGTCTGGGTCCGTCTGCCATGGGGTGTGGGGGGGCGAGGGGGGTGGAGAAATTGAAGGGAGTGTGCGGAAAAGAAGGTGTGAGGGATAGGTAACTGCAGGCAAACAATAACTGACTGGGAGGAGTCTGACACCGGGGGGAACATGCGCCCGTCTGGGCCAGTCTACCATGGCCCATGGGGGGTTGAGGGAAGGAGGGCAGTGGCATGGGGTGGGTGGGTGGGCGAGTGACTGAGCGAGACCAGAACCAGCAGTCTTTTTGAGAATTCTCAAAAAAATCCAGCAGTCAATAACTGACTGGGAGGAGCCTGACACGGGAAACATGCGCCCGTCTGGGCCAGTCTGTCATGGGGATGGGAGGGACTGTAAATAGAGCAGACAGGGAGCAGGCAGTGACCCTGGGAGCAGCAGCATCCCTAGAAGCACAGACAAAGTGCAGCACAGGCATATGCACGCATACCTTGAGGGGCACCCCTCGTTGGGTGAACCACTCGACTGTGTCTGCCGGGCCGTGCGTTCACAAGAACAGGCCATGCGCCATGCAGTATCAGGACAAGGCGTGGAGGCACAGACATATGAGAGCATACCTTGAGGGGCACCCCCCGTTGGGTGAACCACTCAACCGTGTCTGCTGGACCGTGCGTGCGGAAGAAGGAGCCTTTGAGCTCCCGATGACCCCTTGGGTAGTGGGAGGAGAGGTGCTGGGCGGTGGGGATGGGGGCGGAGAAGTTGAGCAGGGGAGAGCAGAAGTGAGGGAGTGACGCACTGTAGTGGGGTGTCGGTCGGTCAGGCCGTGAGCACTTAGACGGTGTCAGCCGGGCCGCGCGTGCGGAAGAAGGAACCTTTGAGCTCGCGATGGCCCCGTGGGTAGTGGGAGGAGAGGTGCTGGGAGGGAGGAGGAGAGAGAGAGAGAGGGTTGGGGTTGATAATAGAGACGAAGAGAGCTTTAGGGTTTCGGGTTTAGGGTCGCTCCAAAAGGCCTGCTGGGTAGGTCTCGTGATGCTAATATAGGTGCTGAGAGGGGGGGAGCGGTTGGGTGTTGACAGGATGTCTGGTTTTTATGAGTCAACTTAGAAACATCTTGAGCAGCTACTGTTGCCGATGATTGGCGTGTAATTTATAAGGTGCGTGTGACGTGACTCGCGAGAAGGGGCGAGGTGTGGAGACAGAATGAAACACTACATGCTGCACATCACATGTTACACGTTACATGGAGAGCCATAGGATGGTACACGTTACGGATCACATGGAGAGCACATTGCACCTACTATGGGATCGGCTGCAAGCCCTGTGATCAGACATTCCAGCGAGCTGCAGTTTCTAAGGAGAAGGTTTTTCTCCTTTGCTAAACCTTCTCCTTGGAAACTGCAGCTCGCTGGAATGTCTGATCACATGGGGAGCACATTGCACCTACTATGGGGTCGGCTGCAAGCCCTGTGGTGACATTGCAGCGCCCGCCTCCTGATATGCGCACCTGATGCATGAGAGGAGGCAGGTGGGTTGGGGTATGATACGGCATGAGTCATGGTGCGGTACGGAGTGCGGTGCAGTGCGGTGCTGGGCTGTGCTGTGTTGGCAGGGCGCAGTACAGATCGTGGTGCGGTGCAGTACTGTGCTGTGTGGTGCTTAATTTCTCCTCATCTTCCCCTCTCCTCCTTCCCCTCCCCCTTCACTTTAACATTCCCCAGCGGTTGACTCTTCTCCACTACCCGGACCTCCAAGCCAGGCACCATCTCCTCGGCTCGAATCCCACCAACCACTCCCATCCAACCTCCCAGCTCCGCCCCAGGCCCCTCCCCCTTTCCACTCCCCCTCCCCCATTCCCCCCCTCCCTCCCGCTCCCCTCTACCCTTCCCCTCTTCCCCTCTCCTCTCCGCCCTTCCCTCTCACCTTCCCCAGAGGCTGACTCTTCTCCACCACTCTGACCTCCAAACCAGGCGCCATCTCCTTGGCTCGAATCGCGCCAAACACGCCCGCCGCCCCTCCCCCAATCACCACCAGCCTAAGCGGCCGATTTTCCCCGCCAAGCTCCTGCTCTCCTTCCGCCGCCTCCCCCGTCTCCCTCTTCTCTGCCTTGTCAGCATTCCCCTTCCTGCTGCTGGTACTGCTGCTCCTGCTGCTTGTCGCAGAGCCGGTGGTTACCCGAATGGTAACCCCATTTCGCGTGTTACAGACTACACGATACTTCGCCTGGCGCCAAGCGCTGCGGGAATTCGCCTCCAAGGTCGCCATATTCGCCATTATTCCACTTCTGCGATTTAGAATCGCAAGAGATTTCATAGATTCCCCAAACGGCGTTGATGTGCAAACTAGCCGATCCGCCGCGAAAGACGGCGCGACAGGCAATGTTCTGAAACGAAGCGCGCCAAACCGGCCAGCGGTCAAAACAACGGTCAGCCGGCTGGCTGAAACAGCCGGCAGGCGGCTAAGCCGAAATCCTATGTCCATCGCGAGATCATTCAATACATGTCAGCGCCGTCAAAGCCGTCAACGCCGTCAACGCCGTCAACGCAGCGGCAAACCTCGTCAGGACCCTGTCAGTCTGGACCGTGCAGCTTCAGCACTTTCTGTGTGTAAAATTCCTTCAAGCTAAATTCCCAATTGTCCGTCAGGCCGTGTTGTAAAGGCGAGGGGACAACCTCAAGGCAGAATTTGGAAACCCGACTCCAGCTCTCTCAACCGAACTCAATCGTTCCTTCCCCCCACAAAAGTTTGCGCGCGAACCTGAAACCTCTGATCACACCCAAACCAAGCCCAGGGTTTCGGGTTTGATTCGAAGTTTTCAGGTTCCCGCGCTAACTTGAACCCTCGCATTGCAATCATATGTACTTTCGGCAAGGGCCCTAGCATTCCCCCAGATATACATTTTTTCAAACCTATCGCGCGCGAATGGCGTCCTCATCGTTCTCAAGTAGAGGACGAGCAGCGAAGTCATATGGATTGGGTGAGACTCACTACGATGCGCTATGTGTAGCCCGGAGCGCTAGTGTAGAGGAGATCCGTCGTAGTTTCCAAGAAGCTGCGCTGCTGTTGCACCCAGACAAGCAGCAGCAGCAACAGCAGCAGAATCAGAAACAGCAGGTGCAACGGCAGCGGGAAGGCGAACGAATTCACGAAGAACTGGAACGACGGGTGCAGGAAAACGGAGAAGACACTAACGGCGACAGCATTTCTAACGGTCAGGAGCAACGGTTTCAGCGCGTGCACGCGGCGTGGAGTACTCTGCGCGATTCGTCCGCTCGCGCCGATTACGATCGCATGCTCCTTGGTGTGTTCCTTAACCGCCAGGTGTTCTCAAGTTTAGGGTTCAGGTGTCCACTTAAGGTCATAAAACAAACGACGGACTCGTGATTGAATTCGAAATTTCCCACGGCTAGGGTTCGGGAGCGCTGCGAGACGCGTCTTTGGCTCATAATCGTGTGCTAAAACCTGCCCTGCCTCTCCTATGAGCCTGACCTCTTTAATCTGGTCTCAAAGGGACTCTTCTCGATGCTTAAATTAATCTCTTTGTGTACCAATATTTCCTTGTAACGACTCTGGTGCAGAGTCAGACAAACGGGCGGCGGCACTGGCTCTGGTGCAGCAGGGCTGCTACAGCCGCAGCTACAGTGCTGCCTGCTACAACTCCACCAATGGTGGCTACAGTCCCAACTCTGCAAATGATTGTCACTTACAAGAAGGGGATAGGCACGATGGGGTGAGGCAAGGTGGGGTGGAGGGAGGGCAGAGGGAGAATGGTGAGTTGGCAGCAGAACCCACAGCAGTAGACGGGGCCGAAGGAGGAGGGAGAGCAGGAGGAGGGGTAGCATCAGTCGCCCGAGAAGCAGCAGGAGGAGCTAGCTGTGGTGGTGCAACGTCGTGTGCTGATGGGATAAGCATTGACGACATGACATGGGAGGAGGAAGAGCAAGAAGAAGAAGGAAAAGGAGGAGCAGAAGAGGAGATGGAGGAGGAGGAGGGGTATGATGCAAGGAAGCGTGACAGTTGGAAGGGGCGATCAGGAGAGGAGGGAGGAGGCAAGCAGACTTACAGGAGAGGTGTGTTTGTGGTCGAGTGTCGGTGTGGGGATGTATTTGCCTTGGAATCACAGGAGGTGGTTGAGGCTCTTGGTCTCGAGGGAGTGGCTTTTGGGAGTAAAGGATCGATGGCCTGTAGTGGGAGACCTGGGATGGAGACAGATGGAGGTGAGGGGGGTGCTGTAGGGGATGTGGGAACAGAGAGACAGCAAAATGGAGGGGGAGGGGAAGGGGGAGTAAGATGGGGGGAAGAGGGGCTTGGGGAAAGGAGAGGGGAGGAGGGAGGAGTGGGGGTGATGGGAATTGGCGGAGTTTCAGGTAGGGGTGTGGAGATTGTTGTACCTTGCTGCTCCTGTTCGTTACATTTGCTTGTGTTTGCGAAAGTGAACTCGAGATCGCTACAAGTGATAACCGGTATGAGAAATAGCTAGCTCGGGATGTGTTGTGTAATTTTTCGCTTGGATGTTGACAACTTGACAACCCATAGACAGCCCATACGATGCTGGGTGTATGGTGGAATTGAGAGAAGCCGGAGATGCTGCGTACCATGAATAACGCCAGACTTTCGGTGCCACCATGCCGGAAATTCAACTTACCGTACTGTGTGTTGCACATGCTGGCCTGCTTTGGCATGTGTCCTTTCTCTAATGTTGGTGGAAACTCCCAAACGTTGGGATCAATACCGTATGAAGTTACTACGGTACTGTCAGAATGAGGAATGGATGTTCCATTGATGTTGGTTGGGGTACATATAACAAACCCTAACTTCTGTACCCCCTAAGACAAACCTCACTACAGGCTACAACATTTGACACACCCCCATAGCCTAAGTGAGGGGTATCTAGCAAAATCAAAAAGAGTACGGTCACAAGACCAGTCCAAAAGAAAACAAAGCTCAGGGTGGATCACAACGTCACCACACACTCTGAGCACAAGCAACAGTGGCCACAAGGCCAGTCCAAGAGATCACAAGTATATATAGCAAGTGTACAGACGAAGCAGGCAATAAACTCAAGTCTACACATGACTAGAACCTGTGTCAACAAGGCCTAACTGCACACAACACCTCTGGTGGTCACAAGGCGGAAGCGCCTTGGTGAAGATGTCTGCAGTGTTGGCCTCGGACTCCACAAACTCGAAGCGAGCCTGTCCACGTCTCTGCAACTCTCGCAGAAGAAAGTACATGACGTGAATGTGCTTCACTCTGCTCTCCAGTCGCGGCTCACGACAGAGGAGGATCGACGCCTTGTTGTCAGTAAACAAGGTCGGTGCAGAGCTCGGCCGCTCACCAAGGTCGGCGAGCAAGAAGGTCAACCACCGCAACTCCTGTGCCGCCATGGCACCAGCGTAAATCTCAGCCTCAGCTGTAGAGGTCGAGACAGAAGAGGAGCGCGTGGAACGCCAGGAAACAGCTCCAGAACCCAGACTAAAACAGTACCCCTGAGTAGACCTGTGAGTCTCAGCGTCGTCAGCGTAAGAGGAGTCACAGTGACCAGTGAGTACGACAGACTGCTGCCCTCCAAGAACTAGCCCCACGCCTGATGTAGTCGCTAGGTACTTCGCCACCCTCACAGCTGCCGTCCAGTGAACAGGACGGTGTCTCCCTGGCGCAACAAAGCGCGCAAGGATGCTGAGAGGGAAGGCGAGGTCCGGGCGAGTACAAGTCATCAGGTACATGAGGCAACCCACAAGCTCTGCGTAGGGACCACTAGGCTCAAACGGCTCGTCAGGAAAGGGACCAGTGAGTCTGTGGTCAACAGCGAGAGGTGTGCGCTGTACGGAAGAGTGCTGAAGCCCGAACCGCTGAAGGACCTGCTGCACCATGTGTGACTGTGAGAGTGTAATGGTGCGAGCGGCTCTGTCCCTGGTGATCTGCAGGCCAAGGTAGTGGCGCAGCTCACCAAGATCAGTGCACGTGTGTCTCTTCTGCAGTTCGGACTTCACGTCTGCCAAAGCAACCCTGTCCGGAGTGGCGAAAACGAGGTCGTCGACGTAGACCAGAACAAAGAACGGTGTGGAGCCACGACGAACGAACAGCGACGGGTCGGCAGAAGACGGCTGGAACCCAAGGTCAGAGAGGGTAGAACGCAGAGTGCCGTGCCACTCACGAGGGGCCTGGCGAAGACCGTAAACAGGTCGCCTCAGCCTCCACTGAGTCCCAGGAGGGAAAGTGCCAGTGAAGGCCGAGGGACGACGCAACCAGACCTCCTCGTGTAGGCTGCCCTGAAGGAAAGCAGTGGAGAAGTCGAGAGAGTGTAACTCGTAGTCTCTCTGTGCTGCTACGTGTAGTAACACCCGAAGAGTGGTCATCTTCGGGGTAGGTGCGAAGGTCTGAAAGAAGTCAACTCCCTCGCGCTGACTGAAACCTCTAGCCACGTAGCGCGCCTTGAAGACCGGGGGAGATCCTGGTGGCCGCTTCACCCTGTAGATCCACATGCCGTCGACTACGTTCGCCCCAGGGGGGGGAACCTCATCGACGTAGGTGCCTGTGGATCTGTAGGAGGCCATCTCTGCGTCCATGGCAGCTCTCCACTGAGAGGCCCAAGGCCCTGACACTGCCTCAGCGTAAGTGCGAGGAGTCGGAATGTCAAGGGCGTCGGGGTCACCCTCAGGGGCGAGGAGCATGGCACAGAGATGAGGGGAAGTGGCCGCCAGGAACTCTAGCTCAAACTGCCTGTCCTCTAGGGCGTCACAGCCAAGGGCAGACACACCCCCGACGGCCAGAGGACTGGTAGGAGGAGCAGCCACAAGCGTGGTGGTGTAGTCAAGGCGGCGGGTAGCGGCAAAGTCAGTAACCGCGGCAGTAAGAGCAGACACAGAGGACACAGAGGCACGAGGGTGAGTAACAAGAGAGGCGAGAACACGAGAGAGAACAGGACGGTACGTGCGGTAGTAGTCAGTGACAGGAGCAGGGAGCGACACGGTGAGGGCCGACTCAGGAGGAGACGGAAGCACAGACTGAGACGGACGAGGTGGACTGGAACAAAGTAAGGCAGTACGAAGGTCAGTGAAGGGAACAGGAGACGAGGGACGAGCACGAGGGGAGCGACGAGTAGCCCAAGAACGAGACGGAGGAGGAGAGGACAAAGGCGGAGAACTGGGGAAAACAGCGGGGGAGGAGTCAGGAGGAGGAAACGTGGGACCGTAGACAGGAGGAGAGGCGGAGGAGGGAGGAGAAGGGGAGGGGAGACCAAGGGTCCGAAGACCCGAGACAGGAGGAGGAAG